CACCATCCTCGTCATCACCATCATCATCTTCCTCACTGTCATCATCATCGTCACCATCACCACTATCATCATCATCACCACCATCACCACCATCACCACCATTGTCCTCTCCCACCAGGCTCTGAGCTCCTTAAGGGTCAAGACCCTTAGCCGCAGTGCTGGTACAGGACCCTTTATGCAGAAGACAGAAGCTAGAGGAGTAAAGGTGTTCCCTCAAGCAGCCCTTCAGGTCATTGGCTGGGCTCTGGGATTCCTGACATTCTCTGCAATGTTCCGGTACTGTGTGAGTCCTCTTGCAGATTGCTTACCTGGGAGTACTGGTAACAGATTATGAAGAATACCCATCTCACCGCGCTGTAGGGAGACAGGAATATGGTACCATTTGCTCTTACTACTGCAGCAGGTGAGAGTGGACTGCAGAAAGGTCACTTACGGTGGAAATTGTCGGTGCTCTACCTGCCAGACTCGCCACTTCTCCCAGATCTGTCCCCTGCTGATCCTGCGCTGAGCCTGCCACGTGAAATGCCCATCCCAAACTCTCACGTGGCTTTTCGTTTGAGGGCATGGTCCCGGGTGTGCGTGCCCTCCCAGGAGCCCTGACTTACTCCTCCCTCAGGGCATCCTCGGGGGCTCGTTGCACATTTGTTTTCCGCTTTTCCATCCCATCACCGCCTCAAACATGGCCTAGAGCTGGCTTGCTCATTGTAGTTTTGTGGCTTCCAGCTGTCATCCACTGATTGGATCACCCATGTCAGGACTGTTCTTGCAGTGGGCTCTGCCTGAGGAGGGTGCTGGGTAAGGAAGGGGGGTGATGAGGGGTAGGTGAGCAAGGGAAGCCGGATTTGTCCGGTGCCTTCTGCACTGGCTGCACCGTGGTTTTCTGGTGGCAGGTGTGAGCATGCAGGGAGCACCCATTGTACATGGAAGGAAAGGGCTTACCAGGGAGCAGGGTGCTCAGATCTCCCAGCTCTCCTCCAAGAGGATGGTGGGCATGATGCAGCTTTCTACATGTTAGTTCCTGGGGCCGCTGCAACCCGCTCCTGCAGACGGGGCTTAAACCGCAGACATTGTCTCCTGGTCCCGGAGGCTGGAGTCTGAGATCCGGACGTGGGCAGCACTGGGTCCTCCCTGAGGCTGGGAGGGAGCGTCTGGGCCAGGCCTCTGCCCCAGCTGCTGACGGTCTGCCGGCGATCCGTGGCGCTCCTTGACGTGTACATGCACGCTTCCGTCTCTGCCTTCATCTTCACGTGGCATGTGCACATCTGTGTCCAAGTTTCCCTTGTTCGTAAGGACACAGTCATGGTGGATTGGGCCCCACCCTACTCTGTTATGACCTCATTTTGATGACGTCTGCCAAGACCCTACTTCCAAATAAATTACATGCACAGATAAAGGTCGTTAGGTTATCAGCATGTTGCAGGACACAGTCAACCCCCAATGGCGTGGATTATTTACGTTCTCTCTGATCCTGACAATAGCCCTGCGAGCTAGGTACGTGTAGGTGCCGTGATTTTCATCCTGGGAACGGGGACTGCTGGGCTGGTGGGTTCGCCCAGGATCACAAGGTTAGTGTGAGCAGTCGGGCTGTAAGCACCTTTCTGACCGCTGAGCTCCTGCTCCTTCTGGAAGTTTCTGAATGGGGCCTTCTTGATGTTTCTTAGAGCGGGATGGTTCTTCATTGTGCAGGGCTGGCCCTCGCAGGACACAGACTCCGCATCCCTGGCTCTGCCCAAAGTGGGGTGGGCACTCTGTGATCACCCACGATCACCTGCGATCACATGGGTCCCTTGGGAGCAGGTCCCAGCCTGCGCTCCGCTCTGCGTTCACCCGCTGGTAGTCCCTTTGCTGCGGCTGCCGTGTGGGGGCCCCAGGCCTTCCTAGGGTGCTGGTATCCAAGGGAATTTGAGTTGGGTGTCTGTGTGGTTGGAACCGGAGGCCAGTGGGGACTCCCGAAACAGAAAGTGGCAAGTTATCACTGCCCCCACCTGGTCAGTCGGGCAGATCTAGTTTGTTGTGCCGAAGTTTCCCGATACTCTCCTCACTCAGCCAGGGCTGGGCGGGGCTGCGGGTAGTCATGAGGCATCTCTGAAGCGAGCATCCGGCCCCCACCCAGCCTGGTAGCCCCAGGAGGAGCTCTGAGGTTACCCCTGAATTCAGCCTTTGACACTGGCGAGGGACAGACGGAGCATTCATGCCTGCCAGGTCAGGTTTCCTGGGCCGAACTGCTGAACGCTCCTCATTGTTGAGAGCAGCTAGCTTCCCGGAGGCTCAGGCTCAGGACCCACGGAGGAGGGCCTCTGCATTCCTGGGCGTGCAGAACCCCCAGGAGACAGTTGGTCCTAGCCTCCTGTCCTTTCTGAAGGTTTTTGCGGTGACAAAGCAAGCCCTTGAGCTCCTGCTGATGGCTATTCAATAGAACATAATTTTAATTCAATAGAAAACGAGAAAGCTCTGTTAGAAGCAGATGTGACCTGGTGTATGTGTTTTGTGGCTTATTGAACTCTCACAGAAGGGACCCGGGAGCATGGCCAAGGCACGGCCTTCAGGTTCTTAGTGGCACTGCTAGGTTTTTGAAAAGTGTTTGTGATTGATTTGCAGGCACAGTCTACACTATTGAAAAATGAGCTTTTGGGGCGTCTGGGTGGCTCAGTCAGTTAAACGTCTGCCTTTGGCTCAGGTCATGATCCCCAAGTCCCGGAATCAAGCCCCATATCGGGCTCTCTGCTCAGCGGGGAGCCTGCTTCTCCCTCTCCCTCTGCGCCTCCCCACCCAGCTCATGCTCTCTCTCGCTCTCACTCATTCGCTCTCTAAAATAAAGAAAATCTTTAAAAATTACTCTTGTGGCAACTGATGGGATTTTTAAATCACACTGTGTTTCACTGTTGCCTTCCTCTCTGCTTTGGGAGGGGTGGGCTCGGTGTCCCAGGGCTGTTAGTTCAGAGCCCATGTGGGCAAGCAGATGCTTGCCGCGGACGTTCCTATCCGAGAGGTCAGGAGCGGAGACCTCCGTCCGTACCTGAGATGTCGAAGTGCCGCCTATGTGAAGATTAAATCATGCAGTAATTTGCTTGAGCCGCGGTCCTCACAGTGTGCTTCCCTGAGTTCACGCTCGTGAGAAGTGTAGCAGGGGGCCCGACCCGGACCTGCTGCCCCAGGTGCTCTGTTGGGTGGGGGGGTGGGGGGGTCGGCACTGTTGCCATGGCGCTGGGATTGGAGAAGCTCCACGCAGGGGCAGGAGCAGCCCAAGGCAGTAAAAACACCACAGGTGCCATGGGGGTCTGAGTCAAGGCCACTGAAGCCCACGGTTCCGTCCCCGCCATTCTCCTTTTGTATTTACTCAGGGTTTCCGTCCAGGCGACATCCTGGAACGCTGGGGGTCCCGCCGCGCAGAGGACCTGGATGGAAACACCTGGACATCTCTGGCCGCGTGCCGGGTGAGCGTGGGCTGTGCCACTGACCAGGTGTCTTGTCCTTCCCCGCAGAAGTGCATCCGGTTTAACCCGGACGCCACCGTGTGGGTTGCGAAGCAGCGGATTCTGTGCTCCTTGACCCAGAGCCTGAAGGACGTCCTGAACTACGGGCTGTTCCAGCCAGCCAGCAACGGGCGGGATGGGAAATTCCTGGACGAGGAGCGGCTCCTGCGCGAGTACCCGCAGCCTGTGGGCAAGGGCGTCCCCTCCCTGGAGGTACTGCCTGCTGCCTCGTGGCCTGGTCACGGGGTGGGGGGCGGGGAGGACTTCACGGAACTCCAGATTTGATTTGGATTGGGAAATGACCCCCCCTTGAAAAGTGAGCTTGGGGTCTTGAGGTGGCCCTTAGTTTTGGGAATTTCAGACACCTGCACGGTTTCCGACCCCTTTGGTTCCTTACTGTGGATTGGATGAATCTGTTGGGGAGAAATCTTGGGATGCGCACACGAAGGGTCTGACTCAGGCTCACGTCACCGGGACCTGCGGGTCTGGGGGTGCAGGATGGGGCTTGTGTCTGCCTCCCCGACTCGGTCTTCCTGCCCTGGGGTGTGGGGTGGCCAGGGGCCGTCCAGCTTTGACCTGAAGCATGACTTCCAGCTTCTTGCTGGGGAATGACCAGGGGGCCTGGACCTGCCGTGGCCGTGGGCCTGCCGTGTGACGGGTCAGTGTGCAAGCTGGGCACCCAGATGCACTTCCATGTACGTGTGACATCAGTCCCTGCTGCTCTGGCCCCCGGCTGGCTGCATCCCCAGGTTCACACACGGTCTTGCCCTGTGACGTATGAGACCGCCATGCGAGCGGCTTTTTTCATGTTGCATGGCGGGACTGGGAGCGGCGGGTGAGGACGCTCACCTCAGCCCCATCAGACAGGGAGACGCCGCATGTGTGGAAGCGTAGCGGGCCCTTCAGCAACCTCAGTGTGTTCTACAGCATTCGCAGTGAGGAGATCATTCTGAGGTCAGGAGGTCACGAACTAAGGCTGGATCTCATCTGCACATTTCTAAGCCTGATAGTGACATTGAGGCTGAGGTTTGGGGATCCCCATGTAGATGGAGCAGTTGTCAGCCTGGAGGGAGGGGTTTTGGTGGAGGAAAAGATGGGGTGCCACTTGGCGTCCTGTGGCTCCCTGTTCTGACCTCAGTTTGCTCATCCATAAAACGGGTATCCTTTGGAAAAAAATCCCTTGTTGGGGGCCTAGGTACCAGACGCTTTCTAAGCATGTTCACCAGGCACAAGGTGTCAGGGTTCTTGTCTTACGGAGCTGACACTCGAGTGGGAGGTGACAGACTGGGAACAGTAAATGAACGGTTCATTTCAGGGACTGGTGATTTCCGTAATGACAGTGAAGCCCGGCGAGAAGACCGGGACGTCCAGAGCCTCCGCTTGATCCGGGAGGCTGTTGGAGGAGGCCACTCTGGCTGGTCCCCACTCACCCCTGAGAACCGAATGGGAGGGTGTGGGGATGCACAGTAACCTGGGCAGGGTGCTGCTGCTGTTTCTAGAAGGACAGGCACACGCATTCGCCCCCCCCCCCCCCCCGTGTCCTGTCTGGCCACTTGTGTCCCAGGAGCCGAGCTGAGAGATGTGCGGGGGAGCATCTCTGCTCCTGCGTGTGCATTGCCCCACAGGGGGCTTGGTCCAGTCCTGGGAGCTGTGCAGCCTGAGTCCTCCACCCAGCCTCTCTGGGCCTCGGGTTCCCAGCTTTGAAATCGGGGGAGCGTGAGTCGTGCCTGCTCAGGGGGCCTAAGGCTCCAGCCAGGTGCTCCATGCACGAGCTGGTGAGCTCCTTGCTGTGAGAGACCCGATGTACCTCCACGTAGCCAGCTCCCTGCGCCTCTGTCCCGCCAGGTGACCCTCGGTGCAGAGTGAGACGGGCCTGGCGCTCCACACATCAGGGGCGGGCACGGCCGTGAGCTCTTTGCCTCCGAGAATTTCCGTAGAATATGGTTGGCTGCCTAGGAAACATGGAGGAAACAGCAGGAAAGGGTTTGCCTTCCAGGGCCTGCATCCCTCTGCGGCCACGAGCTGGAAATGCTGGTGACTCTGGAAACAGACATCCTCCTCCGAGCACTTCCTGTCCTGCCAAGAGGCGGTAGCATCCCTAGTATATATTTTTTTAAAGATTTTATTCAGTTATTCATGAGAGGCAGAGAGAGAGAGGGAGGCAGAGGGAGGGAAGAAGCAGACTCCCCGCTGAGCAGGGAGCCCGATGCGGGGCTCGATCCCAGGACCCTGAGACCATGACCCAAGCCAAAGGCAGACGCTCAGTGTCTGAACCACCCAGGCGCCCCAGCCCTAGTGTATTTTTATAACCAGAAGTCCATGAGACTTGAACTCCATTAGACTTGTCAGCTAGTGAGCCCCCACCTCTCCCGACGTCACTACCAGGGACTCCTGAAATCTCAGAGGTTTGATGGGGGAAAACAAGGGGGACAAGGGGCTCCCTGCAGCCCAGGGCACTGGGCGCACAGACAGATCAGGAAGCTGAGTCTCAGATGGGGGGAGTGTCCGGCCAAAGCTGGTAGGACGCTGCCGAGGCTGGACTCGGAGCAGATGTCTCAGCTGGGAATCTTAATGAGTGCAAATCCTGACACCCACCCCAGCCTTCAGTCGTGTCCCTCGAAGGGGTGGGGGCCCCTGGGCGGGGTATCAGTTGTAGGTGCTGGGGTTCAAGGCCGACTGACACCTGTAGGTTCCTCTTGGGCACTGACTGCCTCGGAGCGAAATGTGTAGTTTCGGGCTCAGAGGAGGCGCTGTGTTTGAGGGACTGAACGTCGCCGAGAGTCCCGGGGGGGGCGGGCGGAGGCGGCGGGGACGCTGGCTTCACCAGGCCGGCTTCATAGGGGTGGGCGTGGAAGACTCGTCCTGGTTTGTTGACGGGGCCACGCGCACGGCCCTGAGGACCGCGATCAGGGCTCATGAGAGGAGCGCCGGCCGTGGCTTCTCCGTGGGAGGATTTGACTCCTCCGTCCCCTCAGGTTGCTCTGGTTTCTTTCCCTGGCTTTTCAGCCACGTGGCCGCGGGCCTTCACAGGTGCGATTCCTGCGCTGTCAGGGTCTGCAGAAGGAACACGGTGAGTTTACCTGACGTGGGAGGAGTTTGCTGTGGGCCCCCAGCCTTCCGCGAAGTCGCTGAGGACAAGGCCGTGTTTCCGTGGAGTACTCTGTGACGTAGTCACATGTCTTCTCTTTTCCTGTTTCCGTTTCTGTGCAGTTTCGATACAAGAAGCGCGTGTATAAGCAATCCAATCTGGACGAGAAGCAGTTGGCCAAGCTGCACACAAAGGTAGGCGGGGATGGCTGGCTTTCACACGCCAGCCTCATGTCTCGTATGTGGCGTTCTGTCTCTGCAGGTCAGGGGAGCTCCTTGGGCACCCTGCTCCTCTTCCTGGGGGGCACCCTCTCACCCTCTGGGCACCTGCCGCGTGCACATCGTGGTGGGCGGGCCCGGGATGTGCAGGGGCACCGGGATGCCTCTCTCCATCACTCCCCGAGGCCCGCCTGGCTGCTCGGGGGCAGGGGGGCTCCGTGAAGCCGGTGGGGGCTCGGGCAGGGGTGCATGAGGTTTCCTCAAGGGCGGGGCTCTGGAACAGGCTGGGTTTGGATATGTGCATGGTAGCGAAGGTGCACGCCTTGCCTGGGCACGGGTGTCCTCTTTGGGCGTGGCCCACGTGGGCCTGACTAAAGCACGTGAATGAACATGCACTCCCGGGTGCCCAGCAGAGCCCCCGGACTTGGCCATGCTCTCCTGGGTGACGAAAACATGCTGGGTGACAACTTGCACATGGACAGCCTCAGAGGGGACGCTGCTGTGTGCACGTCCCCGCCTGGGTGTTTCTGGGAGGAGGGGAAGCCCTTCTCTCTGTGCCACCACTGCTGACAGACAGGACACATTAAATCGGAGCGATTAAAGAGCTGTTTACACAAACCGCAGGGAGGTGAGTCCCGCCCGTGGCCGTGGCCGGCAGCGGCGGGAACGAGAGGGTTGAGGTCAAGAGCCATGGGCTGCGGTCCATGAGCGTTGGCTTCCTGGCTGGACTTGCGGCAGGAACTCCTGCCCTCTGTCGGGGTCGCTGTGCGTGTCCACGGGCAGGAACTCCTGCCCTTTGTCGGGGTCGCTGTGCGTGTCCACGGGCAGGAACTCCTGCCCTTTGTCGGGGTGCTGGGGCTGGAGCGTGGTCGCACCCACGTTAGCACCGAGGAGGATTCTCGAGGATGTGGCACACAGGGAAAGGCCGTGTCGGGAACTGCGTGGACACTGCCCGTGGCTCACCCTGGTGCTGCCCAGGTGAGCTTACCTGGTGCTGTGAGCCCACAGCAGATGTTCGCAACCAGTGGGCTCCCCCGCCTTTTGTTCTGTCCCCCATTTGTATCACAACAGGTGCGTGGATCTTTGTTGTGCTCAACGGGTTATGATGCACCATTATTTATTAATGTGCTCAAGTTGTCCAGAGGTGGCCGGTGGCGGCCCGTCTGCCTGGCTCCCTGCCCTCTGGTGTGTCCCCACCGTCCTCTGAGTACTGACAGCTTTGTGGCACAGCTAATGCTCCGGGTCCTTGTGCACATTCCCGCCCAGCCCTGGAATCCGCCTGGGGGGTGGTGTTTCAACCCCAGGGTCTGCAAGCTTCTAGTTTTTTTTTGATGACCTTTTAAAGTATAGATAAAAATGTGTTTTTTGGATTTTAAAAAAATCAATTACTAAAATGTTTCCACAAGTGTGTCTTGTGTCTTTGGGTATTTGTTAATTTTGGCTCTGGAATGTAGGTAGAGTGTGCAGGTGGAGATCCAGCCTGTGTCAAGAGTTTGCTTCTTCAGATGGAGGCAGACGCGATACCGTGGTTATCCTCGGGAGGCTGGGGCTGTCTGCTCCATGGCAGGAAATCATGATTTCTGTTACAGACAAGGCCGGGCTAAGCTGGGGAAACGTCCCTCCCCACCGGGGTTGACCCACGGATCGTTTTGACCCCACGGGAAGTGATTGTCTCTTCACCTTGAATTGCTTTGTGACCAGGCATCTCTGTTTCTGTCCACGTAGTCACAGGGTTCACCAGAAAGCGGATTAGCGGAGCGAGAGGCTCCCCTATCTGCTCTCCATTGCAGCTGCTGCTTAAGAGATTAGACCGCACAAACGTCAATCCTCGGGCCTCGCTCCCCGGAGATGGGAGTCTGAAGCTCTGGGGTGGACCCTGGACACTGTAGTTTATCAAAGTGGTCCAGGTGGCTCATCCTTTCAGAAGCGAAGGAACGTCCCGTGGCTCTTGGCACGGATGTGAAAGGCGAGAGAGTTCTAGAACCTTCATCCAGGACAGGCTGGTTACATTGCCCGGTGCTGGACTCCACGCTTGGCGCTGGGGCTCCAGATGCAGCGAGCCCCTGCCTGGCGGGTCTGCCGTGCCCCGTGCAGGGACGGCTCCCTCTCCAGACTGCAGTGCACCCTGTAATGAGCCTTCCTGGGACCTGTAAAGGCATTTCTGTTTTTTTATTTTTCCCCTTAGACCAATCTGAAAAAATTCATGGACCACATTCAGCACCGTTCGGTGGAGAAGATCGTCAAAATGCTGGAACGAGGCCTGGATCCGAATTTTCATGACCTGGACACTGGAGGTGGGTCCTGGGTGGGGGAGGACTCCGGTAAGCCTCGCGGAAGCACGGGCGCAGTCCAAAAATGCACTTACACGCGCACGCCTTGCTCCCCCTGCTGGAAACCCACCTCCTTACGCATGTGGGCTGCTCATCGTTTGTGGGTCAGAACAGCACAGAGCTTCCCGAACTCAGCGCCCGCGACCGTGAGGCTGGACAATTTCTTCTTCTTTAAACAATTCCAAATGAGCGGTGACTTTTATTTCCTCTTCCCTCCCCCTTAGTTCTATTGAGATATAGCAGATCTGTAACACCGTGTTAGTTTCAGGCTGGGGCTCGGGATTGGATACTTGGATACTTGGTTACATTGTGCACTGAGGACCGCAAGTCTGGTTAGCATGGGTCAGCACAGAGTTACAGTTGTGATGAGAACTTCTAAGATCTGCTTTCTCAGCTGGGACTGGAAGTTTGTACCGTTGGCCACCTGCATGCTGACCCCACCCCGCCTCCGGCAGCCAGCAGTCTGCTCTGTGTTTTGGGGGTCGGTGCTTTTGGATTCGGTGTGTAAGCGGTATCACGTGGTGTCTGACTTAGTTCACTTCGCACGGTGCCCTCGAGGTCCATCCATGCTGTCCTAGTGGTGGAGGATCTCCTTCCTTTTTGTGGCGGGATCGTACTCCATTGTGGGGCCGGACGGCTGTCTGTGGGGGGGCTGTGTCCTGGGTTGTAGGATGTTTACAGCCTTGCTGGCCTCCACCCCAGGCACTAGTCGCACCCCGAGCTGTGACAGCCAGACTGTGCGCTGACATTGCCCGGTGTACCCTGGGGCAGAGCGCAGTCCCCGGCTGAGAGCCTGTGCAGTGGGACACGGCGAGCTGGGCTGGCCGAGAGGGCTCAGGTAGTCTTCATGGCACCTGGGGGCGTTTGTCCCCCTAGGTTGGTCACCCCAGGCTGGAGAGCGTTCCCCTTGGACTCAGTCCCTGTGGCGCCCCCTCCCCCACTCCTGGTGACTGGCCAGCTCTGTGCCTGGACCACTGTCACCTACATGGGTTACCGAGCCCACGGCAGGTGCAGGTGTCAGCTCAAGAACGAAGCTTTCTCATCATCGCTAGGGGCTCCTCTGACCCCTGGAGCTGGGGCAGGACCCCACCTGTGCCCATCCAGCCGTGCCCGTGCCCGCCCAGCACACGCTGTGGTGCCGTGATCCGTGATCACCGCTCACACGTGTGTCTCCGCAGTTTAACTTCTGACCACAGCTTCAGTGCCTGAGATGCAGGGAGATGGACATGTGGCAAGGGGGGACACGGAGGGCACACGTGGCTGGGTCACGGAGGGAACACGTGGAGAGGTTGTGTGTCTGTGGTTTCCTCCTTGGGCCAGCCTTTTACCTGGGGACCCATTTGCCTCCCTCCCGAAGCCAACACCCCGAGAAGCCGTCACATGTCTGAGACAGCCATGAGTGTGGGACGGCAACCACGGGAGGTAAGCGCTCCCAGGTTGCAGTCTGGGGAGGTGCCCCGGCCGCAGAGGGTCGGGGGAGAACGGCAGTGTGAGGTGCTCCGCGATGACGGTACCTGTGGGCCGGGAACATCGGGGCATCCACCAGCAGTGTGTGTTTCGTGTCTCACACGTGGAGTGTCGTCCATCAGAAAGGTCCTGTCATGTTAGCAGCACAACGGGATCTCAAGGTGTTTTCTCCTTGTTTTGGACCCACAGGGACGACCCGTGGTTGGCTCTCATGGGCTGCGTCCAGACAACAGGTCATGTGACCGACCTGTCCCGAATCTCCTGGGATGGCCCGGGTTTTCACACTGAAAGTCCCACGTTCGGAAGTCTCCTTGGTCCCAGACAAACTGGCACAGTCGGTCACCCTAAGCGTGACCAGGGCCCTTAATAATTGCAGCTTTGGTTACGTGAGGACCTGTTAGGGTCCAGTGATGTGTCAAGGGCCCGAGGTTGGGGAAGCAGCCCTTTCGGCTTGAGGGATGCACAGGAGGTAAAGAAATCTCCATGGAACAACCTGTCAATGGGAACAAAGCAGCCTGTGATTACAGCTAACCATCTGGTGCCTAGTCTAGTGGAAATTTTAATAAGTAACGGCAAAAGTTGTATGAAGACATAAAGCCTCGCCCACTGGGGTCTCGAGGCACATCTCCTGCTTTGACTGGAACCTCTGGGACAAGACGCGTGGTGTTCTGAGCCCCGAGGAAGGAAATAAAACTAACAATCTGAGCAAAAATTAGTTTAATGCTTTTATTTCATGCTGTGTTCCCAAACTTGCAAGAAGCCCAGGCACAACAAAGGCAGGGTGTTAATAAAGCCAGAAACATCTTTCAACTCTTAGCATGTATTGAGAAGTAAAAAACAGAATTTTCATTGATTGAGTGGATCTCACCGGGCACCTGTGATGTGTCTGGACTTCACTTAGGAGATCCAATTACACAGTTAGTTTCCAGGGCGGTGGTAGCTCATCAGCTTGTCAGGCTGCTATTTGTCATCTGTGCCGAGACGTGCCCCGCGCTTCCAGGTGTCACTGCAGCCCGGCTCCCGGGAGCCCCTCCTGGCTCCCACACGGCCCAATTAGAAGCTTCCGTGGACACTCTGGATCCCCGTACACTGAAGCAGCGCCCCCTCCGAGCCTTGGCTTTGAGAACAGAAGGGGCTTCTTGGATGGGTAAACAGGAGAGGGGCAATTTGAGCAGACATGATTCTGGAACCTCGTAAACGTCAGTGTGCAGAGGGTGGGAGACAGACAGATGAGGTCTGCGGGAAGACTGTTCCCCGTGCATTGGCCTGGTCAGGTGCACTTCCTGGTACAGAGAGGCTTGTCTGGAAATGGGAGCTCAGGTAGAATATCCAATTATTTCAGGGTCATGTTTCAGTAAGGGTCTAGGTGACTCATTAAGGTGCACGTAGCCGAGGAAGATGCAGCACTGTCAAGCAAGTAAGGAATTGGGGTGAGCACAGAGGCAAGGGCCCGCAGGAGGGGCCCTGGGCTTTGGGACATCTGCCAGGGCTGGCCAGGGGCAGAGGAGGTCATTCTGGCACTCCTCACAGCAACCCATGTCACGACATGCACACGTGGCCATACACATGGCCATGGGCAAAGGCCCTGTGGTCAGGAGCATCTCCTCAGGGGGCCAACTGGGGACGGGTCAGCAGCAGCATTGTCCCATCAAACCATCACCTGCAGCACGAGCCTTGTGAGCCTTTAATGCCTACACAAGAACAACAATGATGTTAGAGCAGTTTTTGATTTGCAGAATTGTTATGAAGATATTCCAGAATGTTCCACCTGCACCCCATAGCCCATTTTCACTGATTCCTGCCTTACCAGAGTAGGGTGCATTTTGTAATTAATGAACCAGTCCAGATAGGTTGCTATTAACTAAAGTGCATGCTTTCTTCATAGTTTATTAGTAGTTAATGTCCCTTTTCTGCCCCAGGAGCCCTCCTGGCACGCAGCTGTCTTGTCGCTGTAGAACCCTCTTCCTTGTGACAGTTTCTAGGGCTTTCCTTGTTTGTGCTGACCTTGGCCATTTTGGGAACTGGTCAGGCATTTTGTGGAATGTCCCCCTTGTTGGCGTTTGTCTGGTGTGTGCATCGTGGTCAGACCAGGTTGTGGGTTTGGGGGGAGGACCCCAGGGTGAAACGCCCTCCCACCCCATCACGTCCGGGCTCGTGCTCCACACCGGACTCATCCCCGTGACGGTGGCCTTGGTCACCTGGCTGGGGTGCGCATCAGGTCCCAGCTGTACGGTCCCTCTCTTTTCCCCTTTACGGACTGTCGTCTTTGGAAGGAAGCCACTAAGCACAGCCCACAGCCAACATATGGGGAGTTAAGTGCCATGTCCTCGAGGACAGAGTATCCACACATGTGACAGAATTCTGCACGGAGGTTTGCCTTTTCTCCCCCATTCATTTATTTACTCTAATACTCATTTACCCTCGGTTATTCCTATCCATGTGGACTGATGGGTATTCATGATCTGGGTCAGGACCCCATGCTTCATTTCATTGCTCCCACTGCTCCAGCTCTGGCCACTGGGAGCTCTTTCGGCTGGCTCCTGAGTCCCTTGGACAGACCCCATCAGTGTGGGTCATTAGTTTTTGACCCCTTGCTTACTTTCTGGTACTAGAAGGTGACCCAGGTTCATCCTGTGTATTTCTTGCCCAGACCTAGACCCCGCCAGTCGTCCAGGAGCCTGGTTCCTCTTACTGGAGAATGGTCATAGGAACCAAGATCTGGGTGCTGGGTGTGCTCATTGCTGTTGGGTTGCACTTGCTTCCGGAGCAACAAACCGTGTGTGTGTGTGTGTGTGTGTGTGTGTGTACTGACTTGTGAATATGTGTGTATCTACAAATGCTTCTGTGTGTAACCATCTGTATCTGTATTCAGCTCAACGTGAGTGCATACTGAGGTCTCCAGTCTGATCCACGGCCACATGGATCCATGCAGTCCCTTCCCTGGCTAATCCATCACCTCCCCACCGATAGTGAGACACCTGGCTGCCACTCTATGCCATCTGTTTATCTAGTTGTTCAATCTCAGGACCCGTGAATAGTGGTTTCACAGTTGTTGACCTGCACCACACGTCAGAGGCCACTTTCTGAGCTGATAAGAGCACAGCGCTTACCTGGGTTTGCTTTGCCTTTCGTCTTGCAGACCACGCCCGTCCGGAAGGCACTTAATTCCCCTCACCTGCCCCCTGCTCCCTCCAGTGAGGCTGTTTCTTACATTTGTAATACAGTTCCAGTCTTGTCACATTCTGCATTCCAAACCAGGATCCCATAGTCTTCTCAATGAATTTTTAAAACTTCATTTAAAAATGTGCATGCATTGAGTTTCACTCTGTGTGCTGTGGAATTTATGATTTTGACAGATGTTTGATTCCTGTGTTCACTGCACAGGGTCATAGAGAATCGCTTCATCACCTAAAACAATCTTCGGTGCTTTTTACCCATTCCACCCTGCCCGTCTCTGCAACCCCTGGGACCACTGATCTGTTTACTTCCTGCATAGT